GGTAGGAAAGAGTGGCCAGAGCTCTTCCCCACAGCAAGAGCCTCTTCTGATGGCTGGAATCAGAGATTGGGCCAGAGAGCCCCAGCTGGTGCAGAGGGTGCGGTTCCCACAGCAAGCATCCTCCACTCTGCACCCTTGCTCGGCTGCTGCTCTGGCTGGTGACTAAAGCTAGCCCTGCTCTGAAACCAGGACGATGTAAATAATGCACGGGCCCTTTCCTGTGCTGGGGTGGGAGAACGGGGAGGAGTCCTACTGGCGTCACAGGACTTGGCAACACAGCATGCCATCGATAAGGTTCTCAGGAAACACAGCTTCCTCCCTTTGACGGGTGTGGAGGGACCCCGAGAGCAAAGGTAGGGGTCAGCAATCTCTGCAAGGGGTTGGTTCTCACCCCTGACAAGGGACTATGAGAACCTTCCTGTCAGGATGAGGCAACAAGACCCCATGGCCATCAAGTCAGCAGAGTACAGAGCACGAGATAAACAAGTGCAAAGCTGTTTGAGGCTTGCAGTTCTGGCTACAGGCCCACCCATCAGGCCCTTTCCTCTGGGGGCCAGCCAACACAATCTCAGTTGTCATATAGGACATGCACATCTTGCTTAAATGGGTTATCAAACTCACTGAGCTTGCGTTTGATTCCTGGCTTTGTTTGGATATTATGTGAAAATTATGTTTTCATCAATTATTAACCAAACTTACTTTTATACCTTGATTACTCACGTTCTACTTTTTTGCTATAGAACACATTTTTGAAAAATGTACAAGGCACTGAGGACCCAGGGAGGTGTGGTTTAGGTAAAGAAGCCACATGACAAGGACAGCTCCTGAAGCAGAGAGCTATGCCTCATGAACTGGCACAGGCAGGGAGGGGCAGAACCATTACCCTCCAGAAAGGTGGAGTCCTAGCAGGAGACGTACAAGGAGACCACTCTGGATGTGCCTCAGAATTCAAACTGCCTTAATAGGCCTTAGAATAAAATCAAAGGCCTCTGTGAACTGGCCCCTACCGGACTCTTCCCACTCTTCAGCCACATTCGCCATTCTGCTCTTCAAACACACTTGCGTCGTTGTGGCCCCAGGGCCTTTGCATTTACTGTTCTTTCCTTTTTTTCATGCTCTTATATTTGCAGTTCAGTAGTTTTTAGTATGTTCATAGAATTGTACAACCATCATTAAAGTCAATCTTAGAACTTTTTAATCCTCCCAAAAAGGAAACCTATACCAATTAGTGGTCACTCCCCCCAATCCCCAACCCTATACAATGACTAATCTACTTTGTCTCTGTGGATTTCCCTATTCTGGGTATTTCATATAAATGGAATCATACAACACATGACTGATTTCTTTCACTTAGCATAATGTTTTTGAGGTTCATCCATCTGGTAGCATATATAAGTATTTCCTTTTTATGGCTGAATAGTATTCCATTCTATGGATATATCCGATTGTATTCATTTACTAGCTGATGGACATTTGGTTTGTCTCCATTTTTAGCTATTATGAAAAATGCTTGTTATTGAACATTCACATACAAGTTTTTGTGTAGACATATATTTTCATTTCTCTTTGTTATATATCTAGGAGCAGAATTGCTGGGCCATATAATAACTGTGTGTTTAACTTTTTGATGAACTGTTATTCCAAAGTGGCTGCACCATTTTACTGAGAATTTCAATTCCTCCATATCCTCACCAACATTTGCTATTGCCCATCTTTTTTATTAAAACCATTCTAGGGATATAAAATTATATCTCATTTTAATCATTTATGATAAATGATAAATCATTCATTTAATGAATTTATCATTTATTATTCATGATAAACCATTTGAATTTGCATTTCCCTAATTACTATTGATGCCGAGCATCCTTTCATGTGCTCATTGACCCCCATATATATTCTTCGAAGAAATGTCTAATTAAATCTTCTGCCCACTTAAAAAAATTAGTTGTCAATACTACTCAGCCATAAAAAGGAAAGGAAATTTTGCCATTTGCAGCAACATGGATGGACGTGGAGGGTATTATGCTAAGTGAAAGAAGTCAGACAGAGAAAGAAAAATACTGTATGATACCACTTATGTGGAATCTAAAAAAATACAACAAACTAGTGAATATAACAAAAGAAGAAGCCTACTCACAGATATAGAGAAGAAACTAGTGGTTACCAGTTAGGGGGGAGGTGGGGAGGGGCAAGATAGGAGTAGGGGATTAAGAGGTACAAACTATTATGTATAAAATAATCTATAAGGATATATTGTACAACACAGGGAATATAGCCAATATTTTATGATAAACTATAAATGGAGTATAGTCTTTAAAAATTGTGAATCACTCTGTTGTATACCTGTAACATATAATACTGTACATCAACTACACTTCAATTAAAAAGTTTAAAAATTAGTTGTTTTTTTTATTGAGTTATAAGAGTTCTTCGAAGATATATTATAGAAACAAGTCCCTTACCATATATGTGCTTTGCAAATATTTCCTCCCATTCTGGGGGTTGTCTTTTCACTTTCTTGATGGCATTGTTCACCTATGAACCCCACCTGCTCCTCTTTGAGTTCGAACCACCTCACCTGGCCCTTTCTTATTCTTTTTGTTTTGGGTGCATTAGTCCTGTCTGAACTATTGGACTTTGACCCTTCTGGGGTCAGAAATCAAGTCTGGTGCTCCTGTGTCCTATCTACAATTGAATACAGGGGCCACCCAATGTGGGGTCTTGTGCAACCCATGCCCCAATTTTACCTTCCAGGGAGAGACTTGTGGACCCGCAGTTTGCGCAGCAGCACATCAGAAATATTGGGCATGACATCCAGGCCACTCTTTGACTCTTCTTCCTCAATAGCTGGGGAGAGTTCAGAAGGGGGCCCTGAAAAAAAAAGTGTTTAATTTATAAAATGCAATACTCTTGGCAATTTGCTTCAGGGGGTAAGGAATAGCTTTAACATTTATTGGAACCTGGTTATATGCCAGGGGCTTTATAAATTGTTATTTTATCCTCACAATGACCCAATGAGCTAGACCTTAATCATCCCATTTTTTAGGTGGGTAAACTAAGACTCAGCAAGATGAATCACTTGCTTAAGGTCACAGAACTGGTAAATGGAATAGGCTTCAATTAATTCTATCTGCTCTAAGTTCTATGCTCTTCCCATTGCTCTCCATAGTACCAAGCAGGCTCTTGTGTCTGGGGTCTGAGGTTGGTTTCTGGCAACTGGAAAATTGTTGGCTCTTTGGCTATAAAGTTTGGAAAAGTCCCCTCTCTTTGGCAGGCTTCTCAAGAGGCCTGCTGCCCAACTATTCTTCCTCAGATGAATTCAGAAGTTCTATCATCTGTGTCCTACTTAGAAATCAGCATCTGGTTCCACATCCCCATAGACAGGAGTAGAAACAGGGTTTTTCCAGAGTAAAGCTAATGTCATTAGATCTTTTACAGATCTCAGAAATAGATGCCTCCTCGTCAACAGAACCAATAAATAGCCTTTTTTTTTTTTTTTTTTTTTTTTTTTTATCTCCTAAACCTGTCGTGGGTTTGTGGTCTGAAGGCAGAAAGAACAAACCAAGTACTCTCTTTCCCACAAATTTTTCTCCTGCTTGAAGACAGCTCTTGTACCTCTCCAAAGCTTCCCTTCTCCAGGTTGTAGCCCGATTTTCCCAACTGTTCACTGTGGCCTCTAGATACCATCCCCTGACTGCACACATTCTGGTTGTCGCTGTCCCAGAAGCCCAGATGTGCTCTAACAAGCTCTTAGCTCAGGAGCACAGTGGCAAATGGTCTTGGCATTGACACTAGTTATTCATTTAGCACAGACTTGCTGTGCCCTACACTATAGGCTCACAGCACATTTAGGATTAAAAGCCTTGAATCTCTTTTACTTGAACCAAATCAGGTATCTCCGTCCCATACAATGGTTATTTTCCATTTGCACGCAGGACTTTTAGTTATCCATGTTTTGCCGTCTTTCATGGGTTTGACCCAACAGATTTCCAGAACTGCAGTCCAGGCCAGAGATCAGGACTACGGGCAAGGTTGTGGTAGCCATCTAAATGGAGCTAAGATTGGGAGTCGTGTGAATTAGAAGCCTCACCAAGGGAGACCATGCAGAGAGAAGAGGAGGTATAGTTTGGCTCCAGGTAAACAATGTTTAAATACTTTGAGCTTCCAGATAACTGAACAGTGTTCATGAGTTTCCTGGTACTCAAGGAATCCAGCAAAGTCCGGAGGACCATCTGTCAGGGTCAGGGCAGTCAGCGATCCTTCTCTGGATATGAGATTTGACTCATATCAGGTAGCTAGTTCTCTTAGTTAGCTGTCACCTCTTGAGTTCTGTCCTGACACTTACTGCTGTCTGACGTTTCCATGTGACAGATGGCAAACCTTGTGGTGCCTCTGGTCACCCTCTACCTTTATGTATTCCCCACTGCACCCAGCAGAGAGATAATGAAGCAGTGGGCTCCTGAGAAATCTATGATTGACATAACTGTATGAGGTCTAATAATCACAGGGAAGTCATACGAGGGGCTTTTGCCTAGAAAAGTCCCCTAGGTAGAACTCCACTCCCCAAAAAGGGATGAGTTTCTAGCCCTGCTAAAATGGCTGTCTTAAGAGCGATCCCAGGATTTCCCTGGTGGTGCAGTGGTTAAAAATCCGCCTGCCAATGCAGGGGACATTGGTTCGATCCCTGGTCCGGGAAGATCCCACATGCCGCAGAGCAACTAAGCCCATGTGCCACAACTACTGAGCCTGCGCTCTAGAGCCAGTGAGCCACAACTACTGAGCCCTCATGCCACAACCACTGAAGCCCACGTGCCTACAGCCCATGCTCTGCAACAAGAGAAGCCACTGCAATGAGAAGCCCGCGCACCGAATGAAGAGTAGCCCCTGCTCGCCACAACTAGAGAGAGCCCACGTGCAGCAACGAAGACCCAATGCAGCCAAAAATAAATAAGTAAATAAAAATTATAAATAAATAAATAGAGTGATCCCAGAACCTGCCACCCTCCTAATCTCAACCAAATTAACAACAATAACAACAACAAAAAATTTAAAGTCAACTAAAAATAGATCAGCAACTCTCAAGTACAGGAAAAGGCAATAATCTTTAAAAGTAATGGCCAGAGAAAAACAGAACTTACTAGAAATAAATGTAGAGCTCCCACCCTTGATAACCCTTTCTTCCTCCCTCAAAGAATCGGTACTGAGAGGAAGATGTGAGAGGAAAAGTTGTGACAAACTTTTGTAGTCACTTTTGTGACTACAGAGCCGGAAGAGAAGTGGACCGAGGGGTGGGCAGGCAGCTGCAGAGGCGATTCAGAAAGTTTCTCTAGAGTAGAAGGATATCCATCCCACCATAAGAACACTCCAACAAGACAAAAAACTGCCTGTGCTGCTATTTGCTTTTCGTACTGAGGAGGAGGGGAGAGGAAAAGCAGAACGACAGCATAGTATTCTACCAGAGCTGATGATCTCAAACAACACAGAGGGACTTACCAGAAAGGAAAGTAAGAGAAAATAAATAAAACAATCCCTTCTGATAGAGTGAGTGACAGGAGACACATAGAAAGCCCCAACTGAAGCTGTCACAACCCCTACCCCCATCCTGCACTTCTGAGAAATAGCAGAGTGGCCAAACTCTTTGGATTTTTTCTATCTTTTCCTTCCTTTATCTATCTGGCAGGGGAGTGAGAGTGGCTGCTGGGAATAGTTGGGTTAAGTGTGGAAAATAAACACCTGGGCAGATTGTCCCTATAATTCTACCCTGAACTGGTGAAATAATCCATGCCCCACTACTGTCCACCCAAGGGAATAAGATATGCCCCCACTTCAGTGGAATAAATTCAAGTGTTAGATTATTAACAAAGTTATAGAAAAAGAGCAGAAACCAACCCACAACCACCACTACCCACAGCGCCAGCTGAACTTCCTCTTTTCCCCACGACCCAAGCAGTGACAAAGCAGACACAAAATACCCAGTCCTCAACTAAGAGCTGCCAGGAGGACAGAGATCTCAGAAAAGGGAGGAAAAAGTCGGTGAAAATTGACCTACACAATATATCTAGGTCAAGAGAAAATCCAGGTAGAAATGTCCATATCAAAAAAAAATTAAATGAAAACAAATGGCATGGCAACTACACAAAAATAGTATAGTCAAAAGAGGAAGGAAAGAGGAGAGGAAGGTATAAAGGAAAGAAGAAAAGAAACATGCTGGAGACAGATGTAAGGATAGAAACATAGATGCAAGAAACACATAAAATGCATTTTTGTGCAAAATGTATACCACAAATGTCTTGACTCAAGGAGAGCCTGAAAAAATGAAAACAGGAATCAGAGGTGAGATGAGAGGATCGCACAAAATGGAAGAAGATTACAATTTAAGGAAATAAACTGAAGACCAAGATAACAAAATGAAGCAAAAAATTCTAAAAATATAGAACCAACCAATATGTTGGAAATATGCAGGAATAAAACAGATAGAGCCTCAAGCTGAATTAGTGGGGGAGATTGAGATGAGCACAAGGAAGTAAAGAAGGAAAGAAAGATGAAAGTACTGAGAGGCAGAGTAATGGACCTACAGTGGAGACACTGATGAGAAATTTACAGATTATGGTGGCTCTGAAGCAGTGAAAAAACAAAAGGAACAAAGAACACATTCAAAGACATAAGAGAAGAAAAAAATTTCCTCCACTGAGAGAAAAGCTGAACTTGCAGACTGAAAAAGCACACCAAGGGGGGGAAAAAAAAATATATATATATATATATATATACATATATATATAAAGCCTTACTCTTTTCTATGCATGTATATATATCTTATATAGATCCATAGCTATATATGTACATAAAAATGCTTCTCCAACTACCCTCATAGAAAGAGTAAGTAGCCTACAGGGAAAGGTAAGGGTTGAGAGGTGCTGGAAATAAGCTGGTCTCAGACTTCTCTACAACACTGAATACAGCGTATCATCTACAAAGCTCTGGGGAAAGAG